TAGCGTCTAACAAACTCTAGTTTTATAAGGGGCTAACGAACCCCATTTTCTTGATATGTCCATTTTTATTCCAACCGACAGGGTCGTTTGATGTTATATGTTAGCTTATTGTATGTTTATTATGGAATTCTCTGTCTTGCTATTTGATTCTTCTAAATATGCTAAAGCGTCTAATTAAAAACATAGTTTTCATAAATTAATTAAATAAATTAATTATGTTGTTTTTATGAAACATATTGCTGATTTTATTGTTGATATCATTGTTAAGTTATGGCTCTATTTAGTGATGCATGGTTACTAGATTTAATAAGCATGCTAACTATGAATATTTATATTATGGCGTCTGAAAATATGCTATATTCATGATTATGTTGCCTGACTTTAAGTAAAATTGTGCGTCTGAAATATGCTATATCATGATTATGTTGCCTGACTTTAAGTAAAATGTTGTGTATGAAAATATGTGTTATTATGACTGCTTATGTGTATTTTCCTTCTATAAATAGAAAATAAGCACCACTAAGCTTTATGCTTAGCGCGTTGACTTATCACGCGTAGGTTGCTAATTCAAGATAGGTGATCCGCAGTGAGCATCAAACTATTCAGAGGCCTCCTATTCTACTACAATCAATTTTCAATAGTGTCTTTTTTATTTTAGTCTTTAGAAAAATCTAACGGCATGTAAGTATAATTAAGGCACTAGAATATTTTTATTTAAGTCAGAATGTTATGAACTAAATATTTGGAACTGTAGTTTTATTTTCAGAGTTAGAATATTTTTATATTATGTAATGAATATCTTAAATGCTTTTAATTAAAAAGAACTGATTTATTATCTGTTTATGAGATGTGTTGGATGATGGGTTGAAAATGTGGAGTTGTGTTGGGAGAACAATTTTGAAAATGATATTGAGGTGTGGATGAATTATAAAACTGTTTTAAATGTTTTTCTATGTTTTTGTGATACTGAATTGATAGGGGAAACTCTTACGGTTTTTCTATAGGATTTCTCCGAATATTTTTCTAAGTCATTTTTGTAACACGAAAAGAAACTTTTTTTAAAAAAAATTTGTTAAATATTAATCATGTCGATTTAATATTTCAATATTAAACCTAATTTGGCTCTTAAGGTCTTGTTTTAAGAAACTGGATTTTGGGTGTCACACATTCGCGATGGAGAAAATGAAGTTTTTGGACGGTCAATACTTAGAAAACTTGTCATATCTAAAAGTGATTTAATGAATGCTTCTAAGAAGGGGGATGGAAGTGGTTAAGAGAATGTATATGATGGTTCAGATGAAAAGGTATTAACTCCTCACAACAGTGGCAGTGAGGATGAAATTGATATATTAAGGAAAAAGAGAAACCACAAGCTCTATGATAAAAAAAGCAATCATTCGAAGCTGGAATTTTCGTTGGGCATGAAATTTAAAGACTTTTATAAACTCAAGGAAGCAGTTCAAGAATTTGCAATAGTTAATGGTTTCGATGTTAGATAGGAAAGGAGTGGAGTTGCACGGGGAGAGGCAAAATGTGTTGAGGGTTGTCCATGGAGGATATACGGAGGTCAAATGCAATAAGAAAAGACATTTATAGTAAAGACATACCAAGATGAACACAAATGCTTTAAAAATCTTAAAAATAGACAAGCAACATCCAAGTGGATTGCAAAAAAGTTCTTGAATAAATTTAGGAAGAATCCACTATGGAATGTTAAAGAGATGCAAGATGAGTTGAAAGTGAAATTTGGTTTGACAATGAATATATCAATGTTTATCGGGTAAGGAAAAAGGCGCAAGACATGCTTAGTGGTACCATAGAAGAGCATTATGCTAAGTTGAGATCATATGATGCTGAGCTACGCCACGTGGATAAACAAGGCAGGTTTGAGTTTGTCTTTAATGATGGTCGAGTGTTACATGTTTTTAAGAGGTATTATGTGGGTTTCTCATATCTCGTGAAGTCCTTCAAGAATGGTTGTAGGCCCATTATAGGCTTGGATGGATGCTTTTTGAAGATTACATTAGGTAGTATCCTTTAAGTGTAGTGGGTAGAGACGACAACAACCAGATGTATCCTATTGCATCGGCAATTATCGAGAATGTCAAGCAACTTGGACCTGGTTTCTTTAGATCCTCTTTGATAAGTAAGAGTTGGGAGATGGATTTGGATGGACTTTTGTAACTGACCAACAAAAGGTATATTTACTTGGACTTGGTTCTATACTCTTTTTTTTATTTCTATTATTTCCATGTCTCATCCTTTTAGCTGATTTAACTTATTTTGTTTTTTTATTTTCACTTGTTTCACTAGGGTTTGATGAATGCAATTGAACAACTTACACCATTGTGTGAACATAAAAACTGTACTCGCCATATATATGCAAATTGGAAAAAAAACTACAAAGGTCAATGTTTTAAAACTCTTTTTTGGAGGGCTGTCAGGGCTACATATCATGCAGAATTCAAGCAAGCTATGAAGGAATTAAATGAGGAATCACCTGAAGCATATGATGCTTTTATGAGACAGAATCCTAAGAAATTCTTTAAGTGTTTCGTAAACGGTTTGCCAAAATGTGATGTGGTGGAAAATAATGTTTTAGAGACTTTCAATGGATATATAGTGAAAGCAAGGTGCATGCATATCATTGACATGTTGGAGGCAATAATGATTGCTCTTATGGAAAGAATGCACGCAAAGAGACATATGATGTTGCAGTCACATGATTTACTCCCACCTAGAGTTAGAGCTAAGCTAGAAAAAACCAAATTGCTTACAAGATATTGTACTCCTAAGCCTACAGTTGGTGATAAGTTCCAAGTCTCAAATAGGGAAGATGGCTTTATTATGGATTTGATTGGTAACGCTTGCTCCTATAGGGTATGGGATATAACTGGGATACCTTGTTTTCATGCACTTGTCTGTATAAATTACATGAAGTATGATGAGTTGGTTTACATTCATGAGTATTTGAAGGAGGACATGTATCTGAAATGCTATGGATATGTTCTACAACCATTAAATGGATGTAAAATGTGGCCTGAGGTGAGTCAAGACCATTAAAGCCACCAAATTATGACAAGAAAGCTGGCAGGCCAAAGAAAGAAAAGGAATATGGTTGTTGATGAAGACCAAAGAGCAAAGGAAAGTTACTTAGGACAGTGTATCAAATGCAATGTTAGAAATGCTTCCAATATGGTCATTACAAACGGAACTGTAAAAATGCTAGTGCACAATTGGAATCAGTAAACCAAAACCAACAGGTTCACTTTTTAACCATTTAATATGTTTTGCTTTAGTTTTAACTCTTTAGATCCGTAAGAACTAATGCATAACATGTTAACATAATTTATGTTTTCATTTGATTTTTTAATAGTTAGCGCTGTAAAGAGCCAAGTCTTTTTGTAAAGAAACATTCAGTCTAAATTTATTGAAATTAAGTCCTTTTTTATGGAAAATTCAGTCTAAGTTAGTGGTTTGTAAAAAGCAAAGTCAGTCTACATTATTGTCTAGCTTCTGTTTGTCTTTTTTGATTTTGTATTTTTTGAATGCTAATTGTTAGTGGCTGTAAAATTCTAAGTTAGTGGAAAATTCAGTCTAAGTTAGTGTTTGTCTTTTTTGAATGCTAACTGTTGTTTAAGTTAGTGGTTGTAAATATTTATGCCAAATGTTATGAATGCTGTAATAATTTTTTATTTTCATACTTCTACATTAGTGTTTTATCTTTTTTTGAGATCTTTTAGTTAAGTACAAACGAATGTAAAATTCTAGATCTATAATTTTTTGCATACTCCCTCTGTCTCATAATATAAGTCATTTGTGGTCTGTTATTTTGTTCGAAAATATAAGTCATTTTGTATATTTCAAGAAGTACTAAAGGGTTAATTATAAATTTAGTGTGTCAACTTTTGAAAAATTTCTATTTCAGTGTCTCAATAGAAAACATTTGCAATCAAGTGTCTAAACCCATTATAATTTTTCAATAAGGTATTGTCTGCTTATGTGGGAGGCTGGAAACCCAAGTAGGATATGTGGGGTCTATTTTGTGTATTAAAATGTTATGATTGGGTTTGACTAATGAAGCCATGTAGGAAAGACAACCACAACTGTCTCCTAATATTTTTCTTTCTCTTTCATGAGCTCTCTCTCTCCTCCCTTTTGCGATGACCCTTCTCTCTTGGGAATGATTTTTCAACTGAATTTGCGTTATCTCAGTTGCCACTTGGTTCAAGAAGACATCCCATAAGATTAAAATCTCTGCAACAACAAAAAAAGATAATAATTAAATATTATGCAGTTACTGAAATGCACAGATCAAACAAACAAATAAACTTGCAAACTTTAAAAGAAAAAAAATTCAGATTGTGTTTATTTCTGGAGAAAATAGGGAAGAATGTATGAAAGAGAGAGGCAAATAATTAGAATAAAGAACAAACCCAGCAACCTAAGTTAGGAAGAATAAGAGACACGCCATGGCTGGACTTGATATGAAAGTTGGTAATGATTTGATGATTTCTGGAACTCCCCAACATATTAAATGTCACGACCCGTTTCCGTGGGCCGGACCGGCACTAGGGCCCAGGTAAGCTTAAGGCCCCCGAGGCCCATAGTAAGCCTAAATTATTCAATCTGTCTACAACTCCCCAACTATTAAATGTCACGACCCGTTTCCGTGGCCGGACCGCACTAGGTCCCAGGTAAGCTTAAGGCCCCCGAGGCCCATAGTAAGCCTATAATATTATTCAATCTGTCTACTGATTCTTCTAATTTCAACAAAAACAGTTAAGCCATAATGACTTAAATATAAGTTTTATAAATTTCAAAACATCTGGTCCCAATATCCAATAATACATAAATTTAACCGGCGGCCTATTTCACAATAAACTCATAATTACAATAAGGTTACTAGTTTACCTACCGTTAATTGCCACAATAAATTTAATTTTATAAGGTAATGCTAACAATAAAACAATAAGGCCCAATTTAAATACACAACCCTATAACTGCGGAGTCCAAAAAAAATCTGATAACAGAATAATTTATACATTCAAAATTAAATATCAACAATATAAAGTTTACATTTGTAACTCTGCGGAGAAGATTTGCAGAGCTTCAGTTGAATCAGCTGCTTCCTAGTACCTGGGAGGTTTTTTGGGCGGGGGGTGAGTTTTGCAATTCAGCGAATAATAATAAATAATATACATCACAAACAGTCACACAAATGCACCCTAGAATACTGAATGTACACACAACAGTCAATCATATGGCATCATATCAGCACCCACAAACAATATCACGTTCAACCATTATGACATTACATCAAGCACCCACAAACAATATCACCTTCCAATAATCACATCACGTGGAAATTAGTCAGTTTGAGTCACCGAAACCCCCGATGAGCCGTCCTCCCACATGGCTCATTCCTCTCACATGTGCACCAGGGAGCCGATTCCCCCATACTGGCCGACCGGTTTAATTCCTCCACTTGACAGCCTCTCATTGTTTTTCCGATTCTCTCTTCCTCTCATTATTTTTCCATTCTCTCTATTCCCAACAGGAGGTAACCCGGTCGTCTCCATCAAATCTAGATCATCAAGCGCTCACAACAGGAGGCCACCCTGCGGGCTGCGATCAAATCAGGTGCGCCCAATAAAGAAACCAACCTGTGGTTTTCCATATCACACAGATCATAGCAGTAGGTGCACACGGGGCGCCGATCTTCCATTTACCCGGCCAAATTTCATATCATATTCAGGATCCATATCACATATACCATTCTCACAAACCCATGGTGACCCACTTCATCCCAATTCCACACAACACACAACAAATCACGGGATATATGCACAACACAATTATTCAAAAACAATTCATTCTTTCAACGTACTACACCAAATACATCCAAATATACAATTATGCAACATAAAGTAAATATGAGCTTTAATATAAAATATATATATATATAAGGTTTGTAAAAAAAATGCTATGCAAATGCATGTTGATATGCATTATTTATTATTACTCACTGCGATGGAGAGCGAAGTTCTAGCTTTGATTCTGTCCTGGAGGAGCACTAGATGGACCCGGGCGATTTAAGCAAAGTAAGAACGACACAAAAGAAAATAATTCTATCAGACAAAATATTTCTTTACCACTCTAAGAATTTTATTTTATATTCTAAATTTTTCTACTTTTTATACTTAATTATTCTCTATAATAAATTTCTTGTTCTGACTACTTTATTCTCTATTATTATTATTATTATTTTATTCTATTTTTATTTTTTATTTTATTTTATCTAACTCTAGTTTATTTATTTTCTTCTACCGAAATTTATTTTATTTTTATACCAAATTTATTTTTATTTTTCTACCGAAATTTCGGCATCATCTCCCTTAAAAATTTGACTATCTACCTATTAAAATATCAATAATTTCACAAATATTCAATCCATACGGCCCATCCGTCGGGCAATTAATCAAACAACATTTTCCCATTCTCCTCCAATCTCAACATCACCACACAATCCAAATTATACATTACAATAACATTATATTTAAACTACTTTAATTAAATCAATACTAAAATTATAAAACCTATTAACTATCACCAATTATCAAAATTAAATTACCAATTATTAACTACAAATAATAAAAATTAATTTAATTTAACTAGCATTACTAACTTAACTTAACTAAACTAAGTTGACTACAAGTAATAAAATTAATTTCATTAAACTATATTTACTAAAATTAATTAAACTTCAAATATAAAATTAATTAATTAAACTAATATTTACTAACATTAACTTAAATCGACTAAATTATTAAATTTAAAACTACTAAACTAAATCAATTAACTAAATAAATTCAAGAACACTAACTTAACTAAATAAATTACCTACAAACAATTAATTTCATTCACTAAAACTAAATTATACATCATATATTGTTGCCGGAATTCGATTAACCGGAAATGGGGCTGGTGGCCGGAGGTCGACTGGCAGTGTGGAGAGAGGCGGCGAGGGCTGGGTGGCGTGCAGTGGATCTGCTGTCTCTCGCCAGTCACACAGAGATAGACGCAGGGAAGAAAAAAAGAAAAGAAAAGAAAAGAAAAGAAAGAAAGAAAGAAGAAAAGGAAGAAAGGAGGAGGTGGTGGTGGTGCGGTGGTGGGCTAGAGGTGGGGTGGGTGAGAAATGAAGGTTGCAGCGTTGGATTTTTTTTTTTTTTTTTCTAGATGGTTTGGGTCGAACCGGTTCGGTTCGGTTCGATTCGGCCCAAATCATCGATTTTTAACTGGTTTTCGATTTTTTTCAATCGGTTTTCGATTCGGTTTCTAATAGTATTCACACTAAAATATTAATATAAATTTCCAGGCTATTAGTTCATTAGATTTAATTGAATAATTTTTTAAAATAAAAATTCGGGTTATTTCAGTTTTCCCCCCTTAAAAAAAATTCGTCCTCGAATTTTAAAATAGAATACATGTTCTTCTGAGCAGCTAGAAGGATGAATCAAGAAGATGAGATACATATTTTTGAGTTTGTTAGTCAGACCAGTAGAATTAATTTTTATTAAATTATGAAGACAAACCAATGGGAAGAAAATTCAATTTATAGGGAGGGTAGGATGATTATGATATGAATCTAGCCCCAAAGTTACCTACCTTATTACCATAGTTTATTTAAACTTGTTGTCCTATATCCACAAGTCGTCAACTCAAGTTAAATATTCATAACCCCAAGTACAGATTCGACACTAGTATTCACCGTTACACGTGAGAATTTAAGTTCCACATAGCTTCTGCTCAAGTGAGGATTATTAATCTCGTTAGCTATATATATCATGAGACCTACATTGATGTATTGTCATTTATTCTCTCATTAGCTATCATAGGCAATGATCATCACTCCATAAGAAACTCATACACCAACCCAGTATTTAATCTTACTGATACAAGAATCCACATATTCAATCAAATTTACTACTATCCCAATTTAGAATCCTTATTTCAAAATTCAAAACCTACATGCATTTTCCATTCAATTCCAATTCCATATATTTGCCCTCATAATCATTGAAGTTGTTCATAATTAAATAGATGATTGCTGCCAATTCAAGAAAAGTTTTCGATTATATCAAATTTTTGCCCATTAAGTGCCTTTATTAAATCATTCCAATTAAAGAGAACAAATTATTGAAATTATTGCCACTACTACAAGCTTATTTCTTCTGTCTTTAATCAATGTTTTAAACCTAAGTTTATGTATCTAGAAATCACGAATCCTAAACAAGTAGTGCCCTTTTTTGCTCTAGTTAAGTAAGAGATTAAGGATGTTAAACCTATAATCCAACTCCTAATTACCTATGTCCTTTGTTTTATGTTTATACTTAATCCCATGAATACCTATGAATATTCAGATAATAATATCATTGGGTTATTCCTTTTCTCCAAGTTTATCACCTCCGAATTTTGTAAAATTTATTCCTAATACGATCTAGGAATATCCTCAACCTTAATTATGTTCTCTCTATATCCTGTACTCTAAACAATGTTAATACCTCATTGAATCCTTTAAACCACAAGTTATATCGCAAACTGCCATTTATAACAATTTTATTCATTTATCCGCAATTGCATCAATTACTAAGGAATTCAAAACAGGTTTACACTGACTCCACTTCATGTCTTACTAATTCTCATCCTAATTGGTATCTCAATCAATAGCTTTACATTGACTCCAATCATATCTTAATGACTCTCATCCCAATCGATATCTTAATAATTCCATGAGCAAATTTTCATTTATTAATGGTCTGATCGACACCCATGAGTTAGCATTCCAATAATCTTAAACCATACCATTATCACATCCAATAATCCTATAGTTTATATTTTCAGTTTTCAAATACTACCATGTATTCTCCTCGCCCTCGCTAAAATTGTTAAACTATCCCAAATTCACCTATTTATTCTTATACCAAGTTTCACTGTTCCAAACAAATAGTAAATTCAAACTTAGCTAGCTTACTAATGAAATAAAATACTCTAATTACATCCATGTTCTACTAAGGACATAAATATAACTAACCTTCTTTATCAAGTATCTTGCACAAATTGCACTAATTAATAGAAAGTCCTTATGTTTATATACTTTCCATCAATAAGTTACATGTATTCACATTCATTGTCATCTTAAGCTAAGTCCCATGATTTTTTTTTTTCAACTCTTATTCAAATTATATTCAAGCTATAATTTTCCTAATATAGTTATCACCTCAATATAATAGCGTTTCAATCCCAAAACCACTAATTGCCTTTGTTATCTTTTACTTTTATTTTATTATACTTGGTCCATAAGCTTAGTCTGGCTTATTAAACAAGAAATCTATCTTTCTTTCTGAAATATAAGTACTAATTCTTTCATCATCGGGATTACAATCCTTAAATCATTATCTATTTGTATACCACAGACATTCAATAACTTCTTAACTTCCTACCTTTGATCTCTTTTTAGAATATGAATTTACTATATATGAACCACAAAGTTCTCAAAACTCACCTTGCAAGGACCCGATTAACTCAACTCATATGGTTGGTTTATAACATTATCAATTATTTATTTAATATTCTATTAGAATTATCACCGATAGTGACGACTATTTTAAACCTCAAAGCCATTTCCCTACCTTCAATAGTATACATGTTCCATCTTTCTACTTTTAATAATATTTCACTTCTTTTTGTCTAACTACCTATTCTTAACTACTTATTCTAAAGCATCTTTTGAACTTTCACAACTCTTAAGCACTTTTGAACTTTACAACTCTTCTCTTTTTTTTTTTTTTTTTTTTTTTTTTTTTTAGATTCTAATTTAATTACATCATAAAATTACTCTTCATGATCATTTAATTTCTTAACATTCACATTCTCTCTATACTTCCAAAGAGGGATAAACAAGAAACTGTTTAATTATACAAATATTATTTCTCTCTATTCTTTATATTCAAATTATATCAAGCTATAATTTTCCTATATAATTAATCAGCGAATATAATAGCATTTCAATCCCAAAAAACCATAATTTCCTTTGCTATCGTTTTACTTTTATTTTATTATACTTGGGTCCATAAGCTTTAGTTCTGCTTATTAAACATTCTCTACCATGTTACTAAAAGATCTTAATTATATCACACATGGATCCATTAAACTCTTTTCATGACTGAAACCACCAATTTTTTCTACACTCATGAAATCCCAAAATTAATAGCAGGTTCTTTATTTCTTAAATCCGGCTGATGTATCATTTATTTTTATTTTCATCGAATCTTGATTACCCATAATCCCTAATTTTATAAATCTCTAATTACTGAACTATCCTCCATTTAAATCATATTAAATTTATAACCCTTTCACGTTTCTTGTAATTTGATCTTTTCTTAATATCCATACTAAAACAGACTAGATCCATCCTTACTTATCTAATTCATTAGTATTATATAATTCAATAATTGGGGACAATTATCTCTCCATGTTCCGACTGTCATTCACCAATTACACTTAATTCATCAGAGGCCCACTAATTTACATAAACATTAAGTACCTATAATTCCCTTATAGAGTCGTTTCCTCGGATCATAGAATCTTCTCATTAAAAACAAAAATCATTGTTTGTAATTTCAACATACCATCGAGTGTGCAACAATTATTTAAATATCAAAAAGGCTTAAATACCATTAGATTTAATTCTTAACTTGTACCATATTAAAACCATAAGATGCCACAAACCCACACAATATCATACTAAATGCATACAGAGTAGAGTAATTTGTCTCTTACTACGGATCACAATTACTTTTTCTTATTAACCACAATAATTTATATTATTCCCTGTATTCATTTACACTTGAAAGAAATAGTTGATTGAATGCCACAATACACTTCTACTCCATCAATCAGTAATTGACTTCTCATAATTAAAAGATCCACTTCGGGTATAAATAATTCCACCATATTATTCTTTTATGAAAATACTTCATTCACCATTATTATAGCAAATCACACCAATTCCTTCAATATTTTAAACCTTATTAAAAA